GCCACCAAGGTGCCCCAAAAATTTTTTAAGTTTTTATTTATTTATTTTGAGAGAGACAGATAGAGGGAGCTGGGGAAGGGCAGAGAGAGAGAGAGAGAGACAGAGAGAAAGAGAGAGAGAGAGAGGATCCCAAGCAGGCTCCATACTGTCAGCACAGAGCCCGACATGGGGATCAAACCCACAAACTGTGAGACCATGACCTGAGCCAAAACCAAGAGTCGAGCACTTAACTGACTGAGCCACCCAGGCGCCCCTCCAAAAATGATTAAACACTGAACTATTCTGTGCTCAGAACCACAGGCCCCAGCCTGGAGCCCCGGCACCCACCCATCGTTCTCGGCAGTGTAGACCACTGCCATCTGCTTGGGCGGTTCAACGCCCAGCTCCCAGTGAGCAATCTCCAGGTTCTGCTCAAAGGTGTCAACACTTTCAGTATTAAACCACACAAACCCCTGCAGGGACCAAGATTCGAGAGCAGCTTTAGGCTCCCCTCCCCACAGCCCCCTGGCCCTCCCCCAGCAATGCCTGGGTCTGGCCTCACAACACCATGGGATGCAAGGGTGAGAAGCTCCCACAGCTGCCAATGTTTGTCCATCCCTTCTTTGTGTCCATGCGCTCTTCTCTCCTCCCAGTGCTCGGCTCACGGCTCTTCGCTGTTACTTCACAAAACGAAGTCACAGGTAAGAGTCCTGCACTGGGTAGGGGTGGGGCGCCTGGGGGGCTCAGTCGGTTAAGCGTCTGACTTTGGCTCAGGTCATGATCTCACTGTTCATGAGGTCGAGCCCCGCGTCAGGCTCTGTGCTGACGGCTCAGGGGCTGGAGCCTGCTTTGGATTCTGTGTCTCCCTCTCTCTGCCCCTCCTCCACTTACATTCTCTCTCACTAAAAAATTAATAAAAATTTTTTAAAAATAAAAACAAAGAGCCCTGTGTGGGGCTTCTGTTCTCCTTGGAACACTGCTGCTGCTACATGCCAATGTGGTAAATGATCACCTTCACATGGATCACTGTTGGGTGGTGAAACCAAGAGAGGCATTTTTCTGAAAAAAACAAAAAATAAAAAACAAAGAAACAAAAACAAAAACTATACTTTTAAGTTCTTTTTTAAAGTTTTTTTTTTTTAATTTTTAAATGTTTATTTAGTTTTCAGAGAGAGAGTGCGAATGTGGGAGGGGCAGAGAGAGAAGGAGACACAGGATCTGAAGCAGCTCCAGGCTCTGAGCTGTCAGGAGAGCCTGACATGGGGCTCGAACTCACAGACCATGAGATCATGACCTGAACTGAAGCTGGATGCTTAACCGGCTGGGCCACCCAGGTGCCCCTAAAGTTTATTTTTCAGAGAGAGCAAGCGAGAGAGAGTGAGAGAGGAAGCGCGTACCCACAAGCAGGGGAGGGGCAGAGAGAAAGGGACACTGAGAATCCCAAGCAGGCTCCAAACGAGCACAGGGCCCAACGTGGGGCTCAACCTCACGAACCCGTGAGTCCATGGCCTGGGCTGAAATAGAGAGTTGGATGCTTAACCAACAGAGCCACCCAGGCGCCCCTACACTCTACATTAAAAAAAAAAAAAGCCCTACGGAGGAACACTCAGCCTTGAACACCGTCCCAGGGGCAGGAATGCCACGCACAGACTGCTGGTCCGAAAGGCGGTCAGGCCTGCAGCGGTCACACGCGAGGCATTCGGCAGCAGTCCGCACACTTCTGCACTCAGACCGCGTGGCTCTGCCTGTGCCAAGCTCTGCACAACTGACGCATTTTGTCTTTCTCCTAACATGAGCGCTTTTAGCCTGGGGTATGCACCTACTTCCATCTTAATAAACAGAAAGCAATTCAGGAACAGCGATTAAAATGTGGTATGTCCAGGCACTAAGACTCCAACTGCCTTGGAAATCCAGAAGGTGTGCGGACAACACTCTTACACTGACTACAGTGCAGTCCTAGGATACAGAGCTGCTTCAGGAACATTCTGTCCCCCCGCGGCACGCACCCTGAGAAAACTGCCAGGGAGAGTGAAAACCTAGTGCCAAAGGCCCACAAACTATTGTTGCCTCTCTCCCCAGCCACTCGCAAGCGCACATGCCCTCTGGGAAGCCCTTCAAAGACGCGGCTCAGGGCTGCGCCTGTTTCAGTCTGGCGTTCGTCTGCTCTCACCACCATCTCAAGTCACTGTCACACTGCTACTTCTGGAAAGGAAACAGAGTCAGGGCTGGGTGATGAGGCTGTGTCCCCAACTGTGGCATCTTCTGCCCGCCCCACAAGCCTAATACCCGTTAAAGGTGGTCCCCAGAGCAGCTAAACATCCCAGCTTCTCTTCTGCACCAGCATCCACAGACACCCGGACGACTCTCACATTGGGGCGTCCCTGCAGTCCCCACCATGCCTCAGTCTCTTATTTTCTGGGTCGCTGCCCGGCTGACCAGTCCTGCTTTCTCCAACGCAGCACGCTATCAGCTGGGTACACAGCTCAACAAGGTGACGCCCAAGGTGCGGGGTGTGAGCCAGCGCGCACCTATGTAACCTGGCCCAGCGCAGGGTGGGGACTTCCTTCTGTAGCCTCTTATTTAGCTCCCAAATATTTTTTTGCAAAGGTATGTTCTCTTCATTTTAAAAATTAGAAGAAAATTTTCTCCTAATTTTAGTTAGAAGAAATAACAAAGCTACTTTACAACAAAGTTTGCTATATAAGTTTCGGGATATTACGGGTTTTTTATTCCCAAATGCATCAGGGAGGGCTGCGCTTCAGTTTACTTACTTCCCGTGACACCCTAAGACGCCATCAGGCGATCACACAACAGCTGAGGAGGAGGAGCTGGGAGACGGTGCAGTGCTCACATGCTGGACTTTTCCAGCCAACAGGAAAGTTCCTGAGTGCAGAGGATCAGGTCCCCCCGCCTCCGCTGTGCACCACGGGGCAGGGGGGCGGTGGGGGGAGGCTGAGTACTGCGCTGAGTGACGAGAGCCAGGGAGGGGAGACAGCACTTCTCCTTTCAGTGCTCTAGGCTGCGCCTCAGAACAAGTATATCACTGTCACGTCACTGTCGGCCGTGCCAGACCTGGAGGGAACTCTGGAACCTGCCAGAATGCAGACACAGGAAGACCGCTGTCTCACCCCTCCTCTCCTGCAGGAGGCAGATCCTTGGGAGAGCGGGGCGGCAGCTGCCATTCCCCCACCCAGCAGGGAGCAAGGGCCTCTCTGGGGACAGGTGTGCGGGCAGACAACACACGCCTCGGCCAGAGACCCTGGGGGGAGACCGTGGTTTTCCGCGAACATCGTCACACAGAAACAAGTCCTGATCTTAACGGCGTGTTACTCAGGGAGATGGGCCGAGGGCAGCGAGTCCTCTGCTCCCGTGTAAGCTTACACTTGCGCCTGAGGAGCACACCACCCGACTTCAGCGCTCAGCAGGACAAGCCAGGGAGGACCCAGCCAGCACAGCACAAAGCCAGGTGTAGACAGGTGTAGACAGCACTGGCCCACCCTGCTCAGGGTCAGCCAGCAGGGCAGGGACACTGGGAGAAAAGCTTTATATCAGACTGAAGATTGGAATTTACATATAAATAAACAGTATTAGGTCTTAGAAGCAAAAGCTAGCGAATGAGGAAGTTAGGCCACGTTACGGGGTTACAGGGACCTCCGCCCAGCAAGAACGCGGGCATGACAGTGCCCGTGAGGCCGTTACTGGAAAAGTCACACTGGCCTTGTGTACACGGAGGCTGGGAATGTTCAGGATCAGAGCTCACAGGCCACAGGGGGGGACTCACCACCATAGGCACCAGGTCCTCCCTGGGTGGACGGACTGCGAGGTCCCTCCCAGACCCCTCCCCAGGTAATACTGCATGATCTGCTTCTGGGCTATTTCCTCCCCAGGATCTCGAAAACAGAAGGAGAAAAACCCCCTGGCAACACCTGCCCCCAAAACAGCAGGACGGCGCATACATCCCTGTCGTCCCAGAGGAGCTCTCCCTTGTGGGACAAGATTAGATGAGGGTGGTTCCTTCATGAGACGGCAATTTCTTTTCACAAATATTATGTGAGACATCGTGCAAATGCTCCTGCCTCACCCCCCACCACACTCCGTGTGTGGTGAAGCCAGAGCCAGGGTCTGAGAGCCAAGGCCGCTGCTCGGCACCTGTGAACACAGTAGCTCACCGCGCCCCCAGGAGGGCAGAACACCCCCAAAGAGCTGACATTTCCGGGGCTTATCTCTTATCTGGGTCTTTTACAATTCAGATGGAAATCTCCATACTTTCATAATTTTACGCTGGTCTCTTAGAATCTCTGAAAACAAGTGGAGCGACTGCACGAAGCCTGAGCAGGGCAGGAACGGGCTCCCTGGGAACGTGAGGGCCGTGCCGGGTCTAGTGCCCGCATGCACACAAGCCCGCCGAGGCCGGCTCCACCGGCAAAGTCACCCTGCTGTGCTCCCCCACCTCCACCTGCTCCAGCCCCAGCACCCTTGGACTCACCAGTTCCTAAGAGAAAACAAAGCCTGACACCAGGTACCAATAATTACAACTTCCCAGAGAAAGAGGATTCAGAGAACACAAAAATGACTTCTAACATACAATTTTCCTAAGACTGGTGCTTTCTGGAGGTTCACAGGGAGCAGGACAGGAAGAGGCCGGGCAGAGCTGAAACGTTAAGTGTCTTGTCCGGAAGGGCAGGAGAAAAGCCTGCCATGCCCTTCTCAGGGCAGGACGCAGGTCAGAGTAGAAGAGACTACCAGACCATACCAACCCCAGATATCTCCAGACAAGATGGGAACTTAAAACAATTTCTTAAAATCTCCAGGTAATCACCAGTGACTGGAACATACATACCAGGCATGATCCAGGAAGCATTGCTGTTAAATAGTTGGCACTTTGGAGGCCAGCTGGGTGGCTCAGTTGATTAAGCCTCTGACTTCAGCTCAGGTCATGATTTCGTGGTTCGTGGGTTCAAGCCCCGCATCAGGCTCTGTGCTGACAGCTCAGAGCCTGGAGTCTGTTTCAGATTCTGTGTCTCCCTCTCTCTCTGCCACTCCCCTGCTTGTACTCTGTCTGTCTCAAAAATAAATGAAAATTAAAAAAAAATTAAATAGATGGCACTTCGGGCACGATACCCCTTCTCCTCAGAACACTGTGACCCACAAACTAGATGACTGAATCCACCCTCTCAAGCCTCTTCCTGCAACAGACACGTAAAGTGCAAAGCAGTTCAGAGCACACATATCCAGCCCCGTAAGCACCTGAGGGTCCCCATCCCACCCTTCTGTCAGGTGCAAAGTATGTACTGGGGGAGACAGGCTGGATGCAGGACATGTCCACCTGGGGTTCCCCAAGTACAATCTAAGGGTCAGGAGGCTTGAGCGGTCCTAGAGAGCTAGGCACACCCAAAGAAGAACCCTCCCTTCCCCATGTAACTACATCAAGTACAATTTCCAGGCAAATTTCCAAGAAGTGCTTTTGCACACACAAAAATGACAAGGAGGGGAAACAAAAATGATTAACTGTTATCATGGTGTCTGCCAGGCATTTAGCTTTGTTTGACCTGCATGATCTTCAACTTATAAGAAGTAGATACATTTGGTCCTCTGGGTACAGAGCTTCAACAACCTTTGGAATCTCCTAGGGGGTAAAGGTGTCTTTCACTGTTCATAACAAGCTTCTTTCAACCACACTTGAGTCTGTGTCAATGAACTGACTTTTGGAAAACCCCTAAGGATGGAGGCTGGTTGCCAAGAGAAGCAACCAAGTGATTAGAAGGTTAGGAGTTTCAGTCCCACCCCTGACTCCAGGAAGGGGAGAGGAGCTGGAGGCCAAACTAATCACCAAAAACCAATGACTTAATCAATCACATGCCGATGCAAGGAAGCCTCCATATAAACCCAAAAGGAAAGAGTATGGAGCGCTTTTAGGTTGGTGGACAAGAATGAACCCACATTCTGTGCTAAACTCCACGGGGACGGAGGCTCCTATCCCGGGGACCCTACCAGACCTTGCGCTTCATAGTTCCTCACCCGGCTGTTCATTCATATCCTTTAATGTCCTCTGCAATAACCGGCAATGCAGCAAGCACACTGGTTTCCTGAGTTTGTGAGCAGCTCTAGCAGAAGGTGGGCATGGACACCTGACTTACGGCCAGTCAGTAGGAAGCACGGGTGACAGTCTGAAAGCAGAACTGGCATCTGAAGTCAGGGGGTGGGAGGCCGAGGCAGCGTTTCAGGATGGAGCCCTGAACCTGTGGAATCTGACGCTAATTCCAGGCACACAGTATCAGAACTGGGTTAAACTATAGGACACCCAGCTGGTGTCCCAGAAGTGGATGGTGGAGAACCCGCCCCCGCTCCCCCACACACACATATCTGTGACCAGAAATGGAGCTGCAGAGGTGACACGGACCACCTAAGAACATGGGAAACTAACCCAAAAGTTAGGAAAAAAAGCACTCCCGAGTAGGGAAAGGTGGCCTCACAGAGGCTTCCGAGGCGGTGATCCATCCATGGCCATGTTTCTCCACAGCCAGTCAACAACAGGAAACGGAAGGGCCTAAGCAAAAAGCCAAAAAAAAGTCCGAGGGCAAACAAGCCACTGTCCTGCCCCGTCACAGGCACGCCAATCCGATAATCCCAAACCAAAGCCGTGGAAGCCCAAAGGCCTAGGTGACCCGGGAACAGACAAACATATTACAGGACAAAGCAAAACTTTGCATAAATGAGGACACCTCAGAAGACGGTAACTGCTGTGTTTGTAGTAAGGCACGTAAACACACTCCCAACACACTTCTATGAGTCTCTTCCTATTCCCTGCTTATGGGGACTGAGCAGAAGACATTCCACAGGGGAAACACAGCTGATAAATACCCACATCACCAAACCGTGAGGCTTCGGATCTGAAAGAGGAAGGCGGAAACTTGGAAGCGATGGGCACGACAAGCAAAGAGAATGGCAATGCCACACATGCACAGGCCCGCCTGCTCGTCACCTCCCGAGCAGATGAACCCCGAAAGTAGCGGAGGCCTTAAAAATGTAAACCGCTGACAGTTTTAAAACACCAAAGTCAGGGACGCGTGGGTGGCTCAGTCCATTAAAATGTCAAATTGACCCTTGTACCTTTTCTTGGAGTTGCTGCTTTTTCTAAGTCTCTGTTTCTTCTAAAGAATTTCTCAAACCCTTAGGGACAGAACGACAAGGTTCTGGCACTTTAAAAGCACAGGACACACTCTGGGGCACCTGGGTGGCTCAGTCGGTTAAGCGTCCGACTTTCGCTCAGGTCATGATCTCGCGGTTCGTGGGTTCGAGCCCCGCGTCGGGCTCTGTGCTGACTGCCAGCTCAGAGCCTGGAGCCTGTTTCAGAGTCTGTGACTCCCTCTCTCTCTGACCCTCCCCTGCTCATGCTGTCTCTCTCTCTCTCTCTCTACACTAGAAATAAATAAAAATATTTAAAAAAAAATAAAAGTAAAGTAAAAGCACAGGACACACTCATGTAAGCTACCACACTGTAAGACGAGGAAAGGGAGTACGAGAAAAATCAGTTTTCTGCCCTGACTTCTTGTTTGATGCAATCAACACGCAGCTACAAGCCTCACGTACACACAGGGCCTCCAAGGGGACACTGAGCACGGGCCTCAGCTGCTGCGGGGCAGGCGCCCTCCAAGCTACCTGGAGTCCGCACATCATCTCTGCTGTGCTTCCCGAACATGAGGCTCAGCCTGGCTGTCACTCAGATATGCAGAAACAAAGGTTTGTTCTCATGCATCCCAAAAGATTCACCTAGAAACTTCCTTCTGAAAGAGTTTCTCTTTCACTGTCCAATCAAAACCATAAAGACGGGCTGCAGGGACCCCGAAACGGGAAGACTGAAGTCAGGCTCAATATGGAAACTAGAAAAGGGAGGAAGCACAGGGCATCCTGAGCCAACACCCACCCTGGCCCCTGGCCCCCCCACTCACTCGGTTCTCGTGATGTTATGCCAATGATGATGGAAGAAAGATAGGTACCTTTGGGTGGTTTTGAACAGAAGCCACTGAGAAAATGACGTCAGTCTCACCCAAAGAGCCAGCTGCTGAAAGCAGATCCATGGAGGCACTGGAAAGAGAGAGAAGATGAGCTCCTCCTGCCATTTGATGGGCCATTTTCTCATAGTAGCATTACAGGTGGGAAGGGACCCCAAAGTGCAGCCTTGTTTATCCGCTTAAACGTCCCATTAAAATAGAATTCCAACAGGATAAACAGGAACTAAATTCACTGCAGAAACACATAAATAATTTTCACAGCTCGTGCTGTCAATGCCCCCAGCCCCACTCCCACCGACTCCCTAGCCATTTCTTGCCAGAGACAATTTTGGTCACTGAAACTATTAGAGCCTCGAGAACAAACTTGATTCTAAGATTAAGTCACACAAAATTTTAAAACCAAAGGATATCTCTGATCAGCCAAGGGTTAGTATTTTTGTCAGACCTAAGAGAGCAAGTACTTTTCCAGATCCTGTGTTTTTCTTCAGTCCCCAAAAAACAAAATGCCAGTTTTCACCATGAGCTAACGATATTTAACATCAGTTAAGGACAAGACCAAAGACGACTTAGATTTTTCACTATTATAGGTCAAAAGCCATGAGAACAAAACAAGCACAAGGAAAGCCACCATATTAAAACAACGAAATCTAAGCACAGTCAAGAACCCAGTATTGATTATATTCCAAAAAAATCCCAACATAAGCAAAGATTTGGATCATCCTCAATGTTTTATTTTATGAAAATAAGTGTACAGCTGACAACACCCATGTTATTTCAACCAGGCTGTCCCTCGTGGGGAGGCAGGCTGGTCCCCGGGGTAAATTCATTGCCCAGTGATTTTTAACTTGCTAATAAGCCAAACTATTACATCCTTATCAAATGCCGAAGTGGACTCAGAAGCAAGGTAAGCTGTAAGACAAATAGGAAAACCAGGGAGAAACCCGAACGGGAAAGCTCCGGAAGGAGACGCAGCCGGTCAGGGTGACGGGGCTACCAGGACCTCCACACCGTGAATGAAACCGCCGGCCGCAGCGAGTCCCGCCACACACGAGGACCAGAGTCTGCTGCGAAAGGAACCATGAGGCCATGAAGACACCACAGAGGGCTGTTACTGTAACGTGCGATCTAGACAAAGGGGCACGGAAGGGGGTGCACCTGCACCTCCTCCGATCCTCACCAGCGGCCCTGAGAAAGGAGGTGCTGCCGTGCCTCCCGCAGAGGGTGAGTGAGAGCCTGAAGACAACTGGGAGCTGGGGGCAAACGGAGGGGAAACCAGGCCTCCCAGGGTCTCTGCAGCTCCGCCCCCAAAGGGGGCAGAGCCGGTGGCCTAGGGCCCTAGAGGTGCTAAGTACTGTGCTTCAAGCCTCCAAAACTTGATAAAACATCCAATTCCTTTACTTCAATTCATGACTTGATCTTCTCCTGATATGGGTTAGGGAACCACATTAGGTCAGAGGCAGTTCTGGGAAACATAGTCTGTTATCGGGGTTTGTTTAGATGAGCAGACGCGACGCCAAGACATGAGGCTGGGCACAGCAAGCCCCGTCCGCAGGCTAAGTGCCACTGCCCTTTCTTTCTGGTCAGATCCTCAATCAGGTAACCCTGGTGTCCCAGACTGACACAGACACAGCCGCACCAGGCGCCGGATCTTCAATCCGCTGGCCAACTCCAGCTCAACAGCTCACTTCCTTCAGCATTCAACTATCCCACCTATAATAATACGGTATTTATCCCTCTCCATTCCCTTCTCTTCTTCTACTTCCCTTCTTTGGCTTTCTTTTCCTGCATACCTCATACAACCACCTAACCTGCCACAACTGGTTTGCTGTCTTGTTCTCCTCCTTGCATGGCAGGGATGGTGTGGCAAGATCACCAGATGAGAAAATAACTGCACGAAAGCCTCCAGAACATAAGCTTCCTTTGATGGGTGTTAACTGCCAGGGTGCATCTTTTGACTCTAAAGATGATGCCTGCCTCTCCAGCTCTTACATGCCCCCCTCAACCTACAAATCAAACGAGAGCAGCCACCGGGACAGAGCCCTTGCCTGTCCTGTTCACCGTGATATCACCAGCTTCTTGACTGTCAACAGATGAATGACTCAGTCTGGGGGTCGGGGGAACCTCAAAGATCATCCAACTTCCTTCCTAACTAAAACCACTGAGGCCATCAAAGTTCAGTGACTCATGAGACATGTGTGCTGTCCCAGTCAATTATTGACTTCCACACATGTTAATAGCCAGAACGTCCCTCTGCAATGCTGAAATGCCACAGGTGAAAGGCTCTGCTTTCATCAATACTTCTAGAAACATCCCAAAATGAATAGGGATGAGAGGGAAAAGTTCATTCCTGAAGACAAGACAGAAGATAAATCCACGGAATCCTTCTTCCTTCACTCCTGTCCGGAAACCAAGATACCTTTCTTGGACCAAAAATCAGAAACTGCACATTTGTGCATTAGGAAAAATTAAGCCAATGCGATCACTGCACCCTGGGAGGTATCAATCAATACAGAAACAGAACCACCTTAATATATGGAATCCTAAGGGGCGCCTGGGTGGCTCAGTCGGTTAAGCATCCCACTTCGGCTCAGGTCATGATCTGCAGGTTCACGGGTTCCAACCCCGCGACGGGCTCTGTGCTGACAGCTTGGAACCTGCTCCCGATTCTGTGCCACCTTCTCTCTCTGCCGCTCTCCCAGTCGCACTCTCTCGGTCTCTCAAAAATGAAAAAAAAAAAAAATTTAAAAACGTACAGAATCCTATTTCATAGTGTCTAGCCCGAGGGAAGGCATACAACAGAGAAGTATTTAAAAGTAAAGGCACTGGAGCAAGGCGGCTCTGAACCACAAGCTGAGAGGACCCTGACCATTCCTCTCCTCGAGTTATAGCAGCGCTTTCCCGCAGAAAGGGTTCAAGACTCACATGAGAGAATTCGTGTAAAGCCCTTAGCACGGAAGCCTTGAAGCAGTATTCGCCGTTATGAGAGGAGAACAGCGTTCAGTACACGAGAGACACTACGGCTGGCAAAACTCTTTCACGAGCAGTATCACATGTGCTTCAGAGAGCAAGTCTGTGAGGTCCGTCAGACGTTACCTCTAGGCGCAGGAGCAAACGGGCTCGCAGTCGCAGACGGTGCCCGAGAAGACCCTGTAGGCCTGCAGCGGGTCGGCGTCGAACGCAAGTCGCTCCACGCGGGGCTCTTTGGAGAAGGACCGCGGGAGCAGGGCCGGGAGCGTGCGGCGCAGGGCCTGGGAGGCGGCGGGAAATTCGGAAGGCCGCCTCGGCCGCGGGGACTGGGCTCGCGCCCCGGGGCCCCACGCCGGGGATGCGGGGGTCGCCGCAGCCAAGCGCCGCGAGTCCGCTCCCCCGGACCCCTCCCCGCGACAGCCGGCGCACCCGGATGGCGTCACCACGGCGTCGAGCGGAGCCCCGCCCCCGCCTCCCGCCGCCTGCGGGCAGAACCTCCGCGCTCACCTGCCGGGCTGTTCCGAGGGCTGTCACGCCCGCCCTGACCGTCCTGCCGCCTCCTGGGCCGCCGCCGCATCTCCGCAGCACGGCGAGGGGCCGGGCCGCCGCCACTAGCCGGGGCGACACCCCCCCGCCCCGCCCTCGCGCCGCAGAAGCGCAGCAAACAAGTCAAAGCAGCGCCACACCCCCGTCCCGCCCCCGTCGGCGCCGGAGGCGTCGCGCACGCGCAGTAAGGACCGGGCGCCGGCTCGGGGCCCCTCCTCAGACGTCCGCCCGCCCTAACCAGCCGGCGTTTCACGGGTCTGAACGCGAGCGCCGCCGTGTCCTGTCGGAGAGGGGAGCGCGGAAATCCCAGCGAGCGGCTTGGGCTGGATGCTATGAGCGTACCCAGCGCCTCCAGACCTATTTTAAGTCGGGCATCTCCAAGGACACATATTTCCCGGGTCCTCCGTGGGAAGCGGCTCACAAAAGCTGACGCCGTCCCCGCTCGTCCGCCCGCCGCGGGCCGCTGCCGCTTCGCGGCCCCTCAGGAGCGGAGGCGCCGGCTCGGTGTGCGCCCCGCAGGAGAATTAACTTGCGCGGAGTTTTGCTGTGTTCTGGGTCACAGCAACGCACGCCGGTTTTAATGTTCCTGCAGACGTGCTGCCTGCGGATTGGACCCTCCGAGTGACTCCAGAGGCCTACGCTGCCTGCCTTCCAGTCGGGAGCACCTGCCTGCGCCTCCGGGCAGCCCCGTTTTCTCTCCCGGGTTTTGCAAGGGAGCAGAGAACAGCCACGGGCCTTCCTGCACCTGAGACTGCTGTGATTTTATTACATGTTGGAGGCCGGAATGCCTGGGAAAAGGGCCCTACATGCGCCAGCCGTCCCAGCTGCCAAAAGGGAACGAAAGGCAATCACCCTCGACATAAAATTGGAAGTGTTAAGACGATTCGAAGTGGGTGAAAAGCTCAGCCAAATCGCAAAGGCCTTGGGCCTTGCTGTTTCTACAGTGGCTACGATCCGAGATAATAAAGAAAAAATCAAAGCGAATTCACAAATAGCTACTCCCCTGAGAGCCTCTCGGTTGACTCGACATCGAAGCGCAGTCATGGAGACCATGGAGCGATTGCTGCACGTGTGGCTTGAAGACCAGAGCCAGCGAAACGTGCCCCTGAGTGTCACAATTATTCAGGAGAAGGCAAAGAGTTTGTTTGATGACTTACAGCGTGAAAGAGGTGAAAGCTCTCAAACAGAAAAGTTTAGTGCAAGTAAAGGGTGGTTTGTGAGATTCAAGGAGCGCCACTGTTTGCCCCACTTCAAGATAAACAGCACGCCTCCTGGAAACAAGGACATATATCTAGAAGTGCTGAGAAGCATCATTGAAGAAGGTGAGTATACCCCTCAGCAAGTTTTTAATGTAGATGAGACGGGGCTTTATTGGAAGAGAATGCCTGAAGGAATGTTTATTTCTGTGGAAGAGAAAGCTGAGCCAGGCTTTAAATCATCCAAAGATCGCTTGATGCTGCTTCTTGGTGGCAATGCAGCTGGGGACTTTAAGTTGAAGCCCTTGCTGGTGTACCACCTGGAAACCCCCAAGGCTCTGAAAGGCTACTCCAAGCCCAATTTGCCTGTAATTTGGCGCTCAAACAAAAAGGCCTGGGCAACCAGGAGCATCTTTCAGGAATGGTTCACATACTTTTTTTGCCCTGCTGTTGAGAAATACTGTGCCCAGAATAATCTCACCAACAAAGCATTGCTCATCCTAGACAATGCCCCATGCCACCCAGTAGATTTGAGTGATCTGTCTGATAATGTAAGAGTGGAATATCTTCATGACAGTACAGCTGACTCGATCCAGCCAATGGGTCAAGGCATAGCCTCCACCTTCAAAGCTCATTACGTGAGAAGAACTTTTGAGCACATTCTAGAAGCGACAGATGGAGAGGATACAGCCATGATCAGGGAGTTTTGGAGAAACTACAGCATCATGGATGCCGTAGACAACATTGCAGTAGCTTGGGAGCAGCTGAGACCAGCAACAATGAACAGTGTGTGGAAGAAGATTTGGCCCGAGTGTGTTCAGTTCCAGAGTGTTTCCCAAACAGATAACATTTCACAGCTTAAACAAAACATTGTGACCCTTGCCAAGAATGTGGCTTTCGAAGAGGTTGTAGAAGCCGATGTGGACCAGTTGCTGAGGTCCCATGAGGAAGACCTTTCAAATGAGGAGCTGCTGCAGCTAGAACAGGAGCCTGCAGGAGAAGAGGAGAGTGAAGATGCCCCACCTGCCCTGCGTCAACTAACCACAGGAAAACTCTCAGCAGCCTTCTCACATTTCGAGGCAGGCTTACAGGTCCTTACAAGTAACAGCACTAACGATGAGTGGAAACTGAAAGTTTCAAGAGCAATCAGTGATGCGATAAACTGCTACAGGGAATTGTACAATGAGAAAAAGCGGCGCTCAAAGCAACTATCTTAAGTCATTTGTCAGTGTGTGTGTGACAAACGTTCATCAAAATAAAGTCAGAAGCAACAAGATGGCCTCGACGGATGAGACCCAGCCACACCTCTCCACTTGCAGATGGTTTACATCCTTGGAAACTCTGTTTCTGGTATTTTCATTCTGACACCTGAGAGTACCAAATTTTGTCATTAAAATTTCAATTTAACATGTTCTTTAGAATAACCGCATGCAAGAGTCCCCAGGAAAATATTTCTTTAAAAAGAGAAAACTGCAGGGTGCCTGGGTGACTCAGTCCGTTAAGCACCTGACTCTAGATTTTCGCTCGGGTCATGATCTCACAGTTTGTGAGATTGACCCCCACGTTGGGCTCCACACTGACAGCACAGAGCCTGCTAGGGATTCTTTCTCTCCCTCTCTCTGCCCCTCCTCTGCTCATGTGCATGCTCGTTCTCTCAAAATGAGTAACTTTAAAAAGAGAGAGAGAAAACTGCAAGGAGGAGACTAGCTCTTCTAGACATTAAAGCAAACTATAAAACTTCTGTGATTAAGTCAGTGCAGTAGTCAGACCTGTGAACGAAGATTGGAAGCCCCCAGTTTTTTTTTTTTTTAATGGTGCAGTACAACTGGTTAATCATTTCGAAAAAGATAAAATTAGACCCATGCCTCAACATACACAAGATTAACTAAACAGATAAGGGATCCAAAAGTAAAAATTGAAAACATACGAGCACTGCAAAAACACACAGATGAATGCCTCTTTGACCTGGGTGCTGGGAAACTTTCCATGACTTAAGATCCAGATGAAATAAGAAAAGTTCATTTGAATTTATAAAAATTACTGTAACAAAAGAGCTTTTCCATAGGGGAGAAACACTACAAACAAAGTCAAAAAAAGTTGACAAACTGGAAGAAAATATTTGCAACATCTCACAGATCATGGGCTAATCCCTGATATATGATAGAACTCTTAGGATTGAAAAGGAAAAAATACCAAATATCCAATAGAAAAGTGGACAAAGGATATAATTCATGAATAAATAAATTAGATCTTGAAACATGAAAAAAGTTCGACCTCATTCATGATTAGAGGAATGCAAATTAAAGCTACACAGATACTGTGTCTCACTAATTAGATTGGCAGAAAATCAAAAAGTATGACTACACACTCTGGGCTAACAGGTCCTCCTACATTGCTGATGGGAACGCAAATTTGTATAACACGTATGGAGGAACATCAGACTCATAAAAAATAGATTTCTTTTCATTTAGCAATCCCACTTTTAGGACTGTACTCTGAAGATGCACCTCCAACAAAAGAAAATCCATGAGCACAGATTATTTGTTTCATCCTTGTTACTGCAAAAGTGAGACAGCCTGAATATTCATATATAGAAGAATGGTCAACTATGAAATGGTTACTACATTGTATGTAGTATAATATAATCTAGATGTAAATGATGATAACAGTAATAAAAGAGAAAGAACGCTGGACTAATAGGGAATGGCTTCCAGGGTATACTATTATTTGAAAAAAGAAACATGCAAAACAACAGTATGCTATTATTTTTATGGAAGAAAGAAGGAGGAGGGGCTCTTGGATAGATCAGTCGGTTGAGCATCAGGCTCTTGACTTCAGAGCTCAGGTCATGATCTCACAGTTCATGAGTTCAGTCCCCATGTCAGGCTCTATGCTGGCACTGCAGAGCCTGCTTGGCATTCTCTCTCTCTCTCTGTGTCTCGCTCTCTCCCTGTTCCTCCCCCATTCACAGCTGTCTCTCTCCCAAAAAATAAACTTTAAAAAAGAAGGTGGGGGTGCCTGGGTGGCTCAGTCAGTCAAGCATTTAACTTCAGCTCAGGTCATGATCTTGTGGTTCATGGGTTTGAGCCCCGCGTTGGGCTCTGTGCTGACAGCTCAGAGTCTGGAGCCTGCTTCAGATGCTGTGTCTCCCTCTCTCTCTGCCCCTCCCCTGCTCATGTTCTTTCTCTCTCTGTCTCTCAAAAATGAATAAATGTTAAAAATTTTTATTTAAAAAAAGGTGTAAAGGAAATAAGAACATATACAATTATCTTACTCATTTATGCAAAACGAAACACATAAAGGAGAAACCTTTAGTGTCTTTAGGAGACTAAAGACATTGGTTATCTGATGGGGGGAAGGAAAGGAACAGGGGAGGAAGATATTTGACGGGCCTTTTGTAAATTTTTTTTTAAGTGCCTTTTAAATTTTTTTTAATGTTTATTTTTGAGAGAGAGGGACAGAGCACAAGTCAGGAGCAGGCCACAGGCTCCAAGCTGTCAGCACAGAGCCTGATGTGGGGCTTGAAACGAACCTTGAGATCATGACCTGAGCTGAGGTTGGACGCTTGACTGACTGAGCCACCCAGGCGCCCCAGGGTTTGTTTTTTTCTTAAGATTTTGTTTTTAAAATATATATATATTTTTTTTTTAATTTATTTCTGAGAGAGAGATAGAGCAGAGGAGGGTCAGAGAGAGAGAGGGAGACACAGAATCTGAAGCAGGCTCCAGGCTCTGAGCTGGCAGTCAGCACAGAGCCCGATGCGGGGCTCGAACCCATGAACCATGAAATCATGACCTGAGCCGAAGTCGGACGCTTAACGGACTGAGCCACCCAGGGGCCCCTAAAATATATTTTTTTAAGATTTTATTTTTAAGCCACCTCTACACCCAATGCGGGGCTCGAACTCACAGCCCCAAGTTCAAGAGCTGTATGCTCTACCAAATGAACCAGCCAGGCGCCTTGGCCTTTTGTAAAGTTCTGACTTTAGGAATCAGGTTAATATATCACAACAGTAAAATAGGCAAATAAGGGGTGCCTGGGTGGCTCAGTTGCTTAAATGTCTGACTCTTGATCTCAAGGTCATGAGTTCAAGCCCCATGTTGGGCTCCGCACTAGGTGTGAAGCCAACTTGAAAAAACTTTTTTAAAAATGGAGGACATGAATGGCACCATATTTCACATGAATTACATACCTACAGTGAAAGGGAAGAAGCAACCAAGTGAATTGTGAACATTGTGTTTTGACTGTTTGCCCTCAGACTGAAAACAAAAAAGAACTCAAAAAATAAACT